AATACATTGCTCTATTTATAGAGTAAATTTCTAACAAACTAATTACATAACAAACAAGAGAAGAATCTAAAAGAAGCATCTAATAACAAATAGAAGAATGATCTAGAATAAGCATCTAATATTGAATATTCCAACATTCCCCCCTCAAGATGGAACATCTTGAATTGTAGAGAGAAAATTAGAGATGTAAGAGAAGCCGTGGTCGACAATAACGTCCAGCGGAGAAACAATCCAAAGAAAAACAGCAACACAATTCAACCGGAATAAGTGAGCATCTATGGCTCTAAAACCGGGCATTTGTTGAAGATAAACATTATCAACATTGATGAGTAAAAGAAAAATTTGAAATGCTAAACAAACTCAAGCAAGGACAATTCCAACCAGCAAAAAATGCAGCCACAGGGATGGGTATCTCTTGGCTAATCCCAAAATTAACAAGATTAGAGTTGACAAACTCTAAGAATTGATTTACTAGAAAAGATCCTGCACCAAGCACTGAACCATATATCATGAGGTAGAAAGCGTGTTTCCTGCCAGTTGGCAACAATTTAATCAAAGATGACCTCTGGTATGGAATATTTGCTAGCATAAATTCAGAAACCTTTGTGAGAGAGCAGATGGTGCCTTTATCCCATTCACTGATGATTTTGACAAGACTGCTGTAACTACATCTGTGAAAGGGATGAGAGAGATTGGAAATCTTGAAATTATTGACTTGCAATCTCCAATTGACATTCTCATTGGAAAGCAAGTAATGAAAGTCGGAAGAAGTTCTAGTTTGACTACAGGAACTGTATTGGCATATGCTCTAGAGTACAATGATGAAAAAAGGATATGCTTCTTGACTGATTTTCTTGTTGTCGGCGAGAACCGACAAACTTTTGACCTTGAAGGCGACGATAGTGGAAGTCTCATCGTTTTGAAGGGTGAAAATCATGAAATGCCACGTCCAATTGGGATAATCTGGGGTGGGACTGCAAATAGGGACCGGCTTAAACTGAAAGTTGGCCAGCCTCCAGAGAACTGGACTAGTGGAGTTGATCTTGGGCAGCTGCTCAATTTCCTTGAACTCGATCTGATCAATATAGAGAGAATGGCCTAGGGGGCGACGAGAGAGTATGTGAATAGAAAAGTACAGATGGTGAATGGAGCTTAAGAGAGAGTTTTTTTTTTTGTTATGTTTGCTCTAATACTATGTAAAGAAATTAATAGGATATAGTCAATATGAAAACATATTGAAGGAACTTAAGAAGAAGAACACTTTATTAATCATCAAACTCATCTAATATTGTGAATACATCGCTTTATTTATAAAGTAAATTTCTAACAAAACTACATAACAAACAAGAGAAGAATTTAGAAGAAGCATTTAATAACAAATAGGAGAAGGATCTAGAATAAGCATATAATATTGAAAATTCCAACATAAGATAACCAGTAATCATACGCTATTAGATTTGGATGAAACAGTGAATTCGGATAAGATGAAACAGTGAATTCGGATAAGATGAGAGCTTTCGCGATTTTCCTTGTAGGGGTCGATACAGACTCAGAGTGCTGTCTAAGTTAAATGTCCTAGGTCGACCCAAGTGAAGGTAGTGCATTAAAGGCCTAAAGTTTAGACTAAAAATCCTGAGAAGGCACTTCAGATGAAACAGAAGAATTCGAATATAAGCTACATCGAAAACCAACACTACACGACACAACAAGAACTGATTGATAAGTTTTCTAAATATTAACAATTGTCTTGCATATAATGGAGACTTATTTCTGTCCCAAATTTCACAAACTTCTAAGGAATATTTACAAAGAAATCTTCAACACGAACAACAGATTGATTGAGGAAATGAGAACCATGAATCGTTGACATGATAAACTGCATAAAATAAAAATGCTAATCACACAACACCAGACAAGATTCGAACTTGTTTTTCTTCTTTAATCGTGTCTAGTATTGTCTCATCCAGCCTACCGAACATGATCTAATCTTCATGCACCAGTCACACATGAGAACATTCTGAGGCTCCTGAACCTCACAAGTTGCTTGGACTTAACAGAATCCTCCGAGGCAGCAGACAAATCAACATGAACGGAGTGGTTGCGCCGGTGGTGGTGCCTTCCGCCACCCTCCGCAGGAAAATCCGAAATCTTTTCGGGGTCTGACAAGCCACCATACTCGTACTCTTTGCTGTAATATGTATAATCGTTTGTATAAAAATCAGCAATATTGTACTTTGTTCTCTCAGTTGCACCAGAAGAGAGACATTTGTATTGCCTTCTTATTCGATTTTTCTTGATGCTTTTGAATACCAATGGAATTAGGCCTTCCATTTTCTCTCTTTAATTTGCTCAAGATTTTGAGAGAAGAAACGAATGGATTATATTAGAAGACTTTTCAGTCCCTTCTGGGTTTGGTGAGAATTATCGATCAGGTTGCATTTTTTCCTCATAAATTTCCTTTTACTATTAAGAGGTTTGGAAGCATGGAACAAGTCATATGTTTAATTATTTGACGTGAATACTAGTACAAGCATATGCACCAATGATCCCATTGCCATCTTTTCTTCTGCAGTGCATGCTTAGAGAGTTTGGTGGGGATTAAAATTAGATTTTTAGTGGATTGTGATAGAAGTTTTTGAAATTTGTGGTTGAAAAGATGTAGGACCCATGAAAGATGTGGTTAATATTAATTGTTTGACTTATATTAAAATTAGATTTTAATGTGGTCCAAATAGACCCTTAATAAGTTAAATTAAACAATATTGGATTCTATTAGACAAGTTTCATTACCTCGTACTAACCATAGACATTGTGTCTGTTTTAATTTAGTCATAGAAAATTCTTTTTGTTTAGGTTTTAATTTTGTGTTAGTAATCTACCAAAACTCCCCAAAAAAGATACGATGAAGAGCATGCGTGAGAGTTATGATAACTTAAAAAACTTGCTTGTGCAACGGGTGTCATAAACATCATGGACTCTTTTTACGACACTTGGTACATGATGATTCGTTATGGATAGCATCCTACGACGACTAAAAGCAGTCACGAAAGTCTCCTTAAACCTATCTCTATTTTATTTTATTCATGAAATTTACTTTCTTACAAACAATATGATGTCAATGGCAGATAAATTAGCAGCCCCATTGAGTGGATTCTGAATAACTGTTAAAAATTGTTAGAGAAACAAATAAAATATAATGTTTTTCGTGTGTTACTAGAACGTATACCACTGTTCGTGAAATTAAAAATCATAAAATAAAATAATTATATATAATATGTGAGACATAACTTGCTCGTTTATTCTTCTTATTTTAAATGAAAATTAATAATATTATCTTCTCTTTTTTATTTGGTCATACTTTTTGCTGTTTTCACCAATTTGCCTTTTTAAATAATTTTCTAGGTTATCATATGGTATTTTTGTCAATAAAATGTTTTGAATGGAAGTCTTCTCTGTCATTTTCAAGAATACCTAAACCCCTTCTTTTTTCCTTTTTTTTATTGAACAAATGGTTAAGTGGAGGAAGCAAGAACCATTAAGAACTATTTAAAGTGGGTTTATATTTCAAATTTAAACAAACGTGATTGTGGGTTTACTTGCTAGATATGACAACCATATCCGTCCACTTCACGTAAAAAGTTTAGAGAGGAGAATGATCAACATGAATTGTACACGTGTTAGGCACCAAGGACAAAGAAAATGAACCTCACCTACTCCCGACAGTCGGGCAGTATTGAAGACAGTATTTACGTGTTGAGTGTTTTCGATTATCACATTTTTCTTCGGATAGTAGAGCGGTCTAATGAGTGTAAATTTTTAACATTCGGGAAGAAAAATTGTAATAATGATTCATACGTTTGATAAGAATAATATATCTTCGAAGAATTTTTGACATCAACAAGGACTTCCACATAAAAGGTGGTTTGTACATTGATTGTTTGCAAATAAGAGTCAAGATCTTTAACTTTTTCTAGTCAATCAAATCCACCTTTAGGCCAATTGTAATAACTATAGAGTAAACAATTACAAAAGGAAGGGCCAAAAATAAAAAATAAAAAGAGGATTGAGATTTGATTTGTATTCCTCCAGCTATGTTTAGTTAATGTTTACAAACTACTTATAAATACAAAAAGTCACTTTTATTTATACATTTCGAGAGACTCACAAATATTATCTACTTATTCATCATTAATTTTATCTATCTATAGTTTAAACGATTCATTCCTTGTGTATAAAGTAATGCAATGCACTTTTTTGTGATGAATTAATATTTAACTTTCACGGGGTCATCGAAAATTGCAAAAATGATATTCAATGCAAACAAGAAATGCCCATTGGGTTTCTCAAGTTGGCAAGCTAACCAATGTTTAACGTCAAACAAGTGTCATGTCACATATTGTGTCCAATCTTGCTACATGTACACTCTTTTTTAAATCATTATTTACATCATGTCACGTGGCGATATCACATTAGACAGTTTTAAAAATCACACACTTTTCGGTCAACAATTTTTTTGAAAACAATGGAGTGTCAAACTTTGAGTGTACATTTAGCATTGTTGTATTTTGTCATGTGGGTATAAAATAGTTAAAATGAAACAAAAATCATAAGTTTGAACTATTAAATTGAGACAAATTAAAATTGAGTGACTAAGATGAAACAATTCTATAAATGGAGAAAATAATTCTTACAACAAAAATAACTAGAAAATGTAATCTTACATGAGAACTGTTTGGAATGCTTGGAAACTAAGACCCCCACCCCACCCCACCTGACCCACACTGGCATTATCCCTGTTGAAAACAGATTATTCCCCAAGTATAGGAGCTTCCATTTCACAGGGGCCTTACAGGCCCCTCACTGTGCAGCTGACCCCACCTTTAATAAATTTAAAAAAAAAAAAAAAAGGCTCCCCTCCCGATGTGTGTGGCCTGGCAGGGGGGCCTGTGAATCAGGCCCTGTACTTCAAGCACTATCATTGAAAACAATCATTCAGAGTGGTGTTCTCAATCAAATCATATTTTAAAGTAGCGTGCTAAGGATAAATATCACGTCAATTAAATATCGCAATATAACCCACAGATTAGAGCTTGAATCATTCCTCTTAACGAGATTCAACTTTTAAGATGAAACCTCAAAATTCAATAAACCCACCTAACATCATTTGTATTTTGGAACATAATCTCCTAGATTTTTTAACGAGGCAAGATGAAACAAGTTGGAAAGAATACTGAGATACAAGTGTTACCATCAGATGATAAATAATGGAGCATGTTTCTTGGCTGCATTATTTGATATATTCTATACCACAAACAACACATGGCTGCCTAAGATTCACATGAAAGTTGTTTTCATGGGTTAATTATAAGTAATATCAATTATGAGTAAATTGCTTGCTTCTCAAGCCTCTATTTATAATACTGAATAGAACTAAGGCCATCTTCAACCTTGCATCAAAATTTGCATCATTTTGTACCAATTTTTGCACTATTTTGCACTAAACTAAAAACTATCTCCACCCTATTACACCAGATGAATAGTGTTTAATAATTTTCTTCATTTTTAAATTCTTAACAATTTATTTATCTCAAAAATTATTTATTTATTTATTTTATTACTACACATATTATTAAATAAATAATTAAATTTAGTTAACAAAAATATTGAATTCATTAATAAATTTTTAAAAATGTAGTACAATTAATAGAAATACAACTAAGAAAATATTAAATCATAATATTAAAAAAGAGTGTAATACGTTTTGAATCATAATATCATGATATTACAAAGTCGTAATAGTAATCATAATTAATCATTTTTTTATTAAATTATTAAAATTTATTACAAATGCACGTAGTAGTGGTGGTGGTGGTGGTGGTAGTAGAATTAATAATAATATAATTAAACTTAGAATTAACATTTATTGTATAACAAAATGGACAAATATACCCTTAGCAAAATTTGGTGCAAAGTGGAAGAGAAGGGTAAAAAGGTATTTAACCATTTTGGTGCAAAATGGTGCGATGGGTCGAAGGAGAATTGCACCAAAGTGCAATTTGGTAAATTATAGTGCAATGTGGATGGGTGGGAGATGCTCCTATATAAAATTGTACTAACTGAAAAATGCAGATTAATAATGATAATTTAATTGAAAAACCACTCCAACAAGAAAGTCTCAAAATGCATAGTTAAAATATTTATACAAAAAAAAAAAAAAACACGAGATCGCGATGGGAATATAATTACGTGACTCCTTTCCATGCTCATTCCAGAGGAAACCTCAAAGTGACTTTCTGCGTAATCTCTTAAATATGAGAATTTATATTTTTTTTTCTCTGAATGTCGTAAGAGATTTTGGTCTATAATATCATCTAAGCAATTATAATTCATAATCTTTAATCGACATTTACAAAAAAAAGTTCATACTAAGCCCTATAGGGAGCTTCCAAGAGTATTGTGTTCTCACAAGGGCATATATATTTCTCTGATGGGATTATTTATATACAAGATGATGACATAAGTTGGAGAATGATTCTTGGTTGCTTGTGTTTCAAAGTTGAAAAATAAGATAAAGCCTATGCTTAGTTGACAGAGATACTTCACCTGCTGCTTTATCTACAAATGCCAGAATCTAAGAATAGCATTTGGATTTCCTTGATATAACTTTATACTCAAATCAAATTATCAAAAAGGTAAATTTATTTAATATATGCAGACTTATCTGCCAACTCATATCATACTTAAACAATAACTCGTACTATCGAGAACAACTAATAACGCGAAATAAGAGAAACGGAAAACAAGTAGAACACGTGATTTTAAGGTGTTTCATTCTCGATGCAAGAGCTACGTGCACCTAGTGCCATTGCAGAATTGACCATATTGAATAAGAGAATTATAATGTATTTTGGACTTAGGAGTGTCCAAAAGTTCTGAACCGAATCGAACCTGAACCGAATCGAGAGGTTCTTCATAAATTAAATATCCAAACGGATATCCGAATCGAGAACCGATGGGTTTGGGTCGAATCTTGGATCTAAACCAAGAATCGAAGAACCGAATAAGAACCGAAAATAAATCATTTTTTTATTTTTTATACTGAATTAATTAAATTATTTTATTTTTTCTAAACAAATTAGCAAATTAATTAAATAAATCTGATTATTTCATAATTTTAATTTTAAAGCCCAAATCATTTTTAAAGCCCATTAGCCCATNTAGTTATTTAAATGTTTTTGAATTGGGCCACGTTAATTTGTAAAAATTACGAATGAAATGTCATTAGTTATATTTATGTAGCGTTGCTGTAAATATTAAAAAATTTAATTATGGTACGGAACCGAACCGAACCGAACCGACCCGAGCCGAACCAAATGGAACCGAACCCGAATGGTTCCATAATTATATTTGGACCCAACGGTTCCATTTATTAAACACCCGAAAATTTTGAGTCGATTCAGGTCTCTTCAGAACCAAACCGACTTACGTACAGTCCTATATGGACTCGTGTCTTTCTGTTTTCTCTATACTAGGACATACAGAAAAAAGGTTCGCCCTTGTACCCTTTTTATAGGAAAAAACATGAGAAAATATTAGGACGGGTTAATACATGTGTAAATTTCTCAGCCGACTCCTGTAACGCAGAAAAATTTGGGAAGGTACATTAGATTAGGCTCTGTACAGCCAAACATCATGGAGTTTCTGAACTCTGGCCCAAGAGGACTCGAAGGAGTTTCTGCTCATCGAAATTAAAACTGCCATAAGAGATTGCCATTGAGCAAAATCCTCAATCACATATGAATCTTCTTGTCTTGGATTAGACAACTTAGAAAACAATTTAATCCCATAATTTGTTTTTAACATGTCTCCGTTTAAACCTATTTTCATCTCAAGCCAAGCAGTAATTTTGGTCCCTCTTGATTAGAAGAAATCAGTATGCTTTTCCTTGCTACATAGTTATGTTTCGACAAGGTTTTAAGCATTGATATTCAATATTAGACATTGTGTACAGATTAAAAGATCTTCCTCATTCAAAAATGCCATTGAACCTTCTCATAAGTGTATTTTATACACTTATTTGGGACATAAAATATCTAGATATTTGGCAATTCTTTGACAAAATATATCCTAAATTATTGTATTTTATGTTATATAGGTTAAACTCAATGGTTGAACGAGGAATTGGAAGAATAAAAAAAAAATCAAGGAAAAATTGCAAAGTCCAAAGTGTGAGGACCAAATTATAAATATTAAATAGTTGATTCGAACCACAAGATGATACTTTAAAGATTGCTAGGAGACAATTAGATGAAAATAGAACTCAAAAGGATATGGAATATGATCAAAATATTATCAAAATCAATTTCCAATGGCAAAAGTTATATTCTAAATTTTAGTCGAAAATTGAGATCCATTTTTTTTGGCATAGTAAACGTCTGAATTGGAAAAATTCTATATCTAACAAAGTTGTAGCCCTTTGAGTTGGCTTTCCAACGCACTTTGAATCGCCTCAATTGGATATCGAGAGATAAAATTATAGTCAAAATATTGACAGTTGTGTAGAGATAAAAAAAAAAAAAAATCTGTGCACGAAAGCAAATTTCCTTATTCGATTGGAACTGTTTTGAAAATCAATTTGGACATGATTTTCAACCAATTTTCTACTCCTACAAATACCTAACAGCAGAATACATATGAGAGACCTCTCATATACATATTTTACTCCAATACTCATCAATTTCATCATTAAAGGAGGAGAATTCATAATTTTTATAAGAGAATTGAAGGGGACTTGCAAGAATTCAATCAAGTAGAGATTCAAACTTGATTTTTGAGCAAATAAGAGAAGGCGAAAGTGGAGATTCATCAAGAAACCATTGAAGAGATTCAAGATTTCAAGATTCATCTTCATCTTCTCAATTTATCAAAAATCCGAGTTGAATCTTTTTACTTAAATATGATTTCTTATAATTTCGATATGTTATGCTAATTTTATACATTACTAGGATGAGATGAACCCTTATTATGATATTTTTAATTTTTAATTAATTATAAAGGAGTTTCTGCTCATCGAAATTACAAACTGCCATAAGAGATTGCCATTGAGCAAAATCCTCAATCACATATGAATCTTCTTGTCTTAGATTAGAAAACATAGAAAACAATCTAATCCCATAATTTGTTTTGAACATGTCTCCGTTTAAACCTATTTTCATCTCAAGCCAAGCAGTAATTTTGGTCCCTCTTGATTAGAAGAAATCAGTAAGCTTTTCCTTGCTACATAATTATGTTTTGACAAGGTTTTAAGCATTGATATTCAATATTAGACTTTGTGTACAGATTAAAAGATCTTCCTCGTTCAACCAACAACTAAAGCACGTGTGCACGCGAGCTTTATCATGTGCGTAAACGAGCAGGTAAAATGCCATTGAACCTTCTAATAAGTGTATTTTATACACTCGATCAAGGCCTAAAATCTTTTGACAAAATATATTCTAAATTGTTGTATTTTATGTTATATAGGTTAAATTCAATGGTTGAACGAGGAATTGAAAGAAACAAAAAAAAAAATCAAGGAAAAATGGCAAAGTCAAAGTTTGAGGATCAAATTGCAAATATTCAATAGTTGATTCGGACCATAAAATGATACATTGAAGATTACTAAGAGCCAATTGGATAGAAATAAAACTAAAAAAAGAATGAAATATTATCAAAATCAATTGGACTATGTTACTTGTACATAATGCTGTGTCCATAACGGTGTCCACCCCCTCATATGGAGGGGGACCCACTTCGAATATATTATATTTTATTCGAAGTGATCCCCTTATGAAGGGGCCAACACTTTTATGGACACCGCATTATGTACGTGTAGTATTACTCAAATCAATTTTCAATTGTAAAAGTTATATTCCAGATTTTTAATCGAACATTGAGACCCATTTTTGACATAGTAAACGTTCAATTGGAAAAATTCTATTTCTAGCAAAGTTGCAGCCCTTTGAGTTAGTTTTTCAACGCACTTTCAGTCGCCTAAATCGATATCGAGAGAGAAAATTATGACCAAAATATTGACTATTGTGCAGAGACAAAAAAATCTGCGTGCGAATGCAACTTTCTTTATTCAATTGGAACTCTTTTGGAAACCAATTTGAACGTGATTTTCAACAAATTTTTCTACTTCTACAAATACCTAACGGCATAATACATATGAGAAACCTCTCATATACATACTATACTCCAATACTCTTCAATTTCATCATCAAATAAGGAGAATTCATAATTTTTGTGAAAGAATTGAAGAGAACTTGCAAGAATTCAATCAAGTGAAGATTCAGACTAAATTTTTGAGCAAAGACAAGAAGGCACAAGTGGAAATTATCAAGATACCATTGAAGAGATTCAAAATTCATCTTCATTTTCTCAATTTATCAAAAATCTAATTTGAGTCTTTTTACTTAAATATTATTTCTTATGATTTCGATATGTTATGCTAGTTTTATACATTACTAGGGTGAGACAAACCTTTGTTATGATATTTTTAGTTTTTAATTAATCATTGTGACTTTAATTTAATTTGATTTATGAATATATACTATTATTTTTATCGTTCTTTTCAATTGCTTGATCACCAATTGAATTGTTGATAAATTTTATTGTTATCGAGAGAAGCAATATGGTTTAAACACAATATAATAAATATTATAAGGTTTGATAAAGGATAGAGATATACATCAATAGGTTTATATGATTTCAATAGATGTTTTAGCACTTATTAATGCATTTATCATATTTGTATCTTTCATCGAGAAATAGAAATGTCACATGAGGAGAATATATTTGATCGCTATCGAGAAAAACTTTCAATTAAATTAGGAACATTGACCAACATGAATAATTTCAAATTATCACTTTAATTGGAACACTAAAAATTGAATAACAAGTGAAATTCAACATTTTAACAATGCATCTAACATATTTGAAAAACATATTTACTTACTTTCATTAGTTTAATTGATAATTTAGGTATCGGTACAAAAGAAATCACAAAATTTGTTGTTATTCGATTAAAGTTGCAATTAATTTTAACTCGGTCAAACACATAATCCCAGTGAGTTCGACACTCTATTCATCATTTATATTACTTGGCCACGATCTCGTACACTTCCGAGTTTTCAAAGGATCACCTTCAATCAGATTTTCCTAAGTAATGGGAACTCTCAAAAACTGCTGTCATTATACTTGTTACCCAATTCTTATTAGCATGTTAAAAACGAGGAAAGTGAGGAGGCAAGAACAGGTAATGATTCTTCTAATGACAATTATTTTTCGTTATTAAATGACAAACATCGAACTAAGTACATCCAAGTTTTCCTTAGAGATTCGTGAACACAGTTCTCTGTTTCAACCACAGTTAAATCAATAATATGCTATAATTAAACAATTGCTACCTCTTCAGCATGTCATGCACAGTGAGTTCTCTTGTACCATAGTGATCTCTTAGTACCAACGATTTGCTCAGGATATAACCACACAGCTTTTTTTCACCTTGGTTCAGCTGTCTTCCACTTGGTAATATACCTTCAACTGACATCAAAGATGAAGGTCAAGATCTGGGTGGCACCATCCAGCGCTTTCTGCAGTGAATTTGAAGGCCTTAACATAATATACATTTGGTACTTGATTAAAAAATGTACATTGAATACTGAAGCAAATAGTAACTTCCAAAGATATCTCCAAATCAAACTGGGAATAAAGGACATTACAGTCACAATAATGAACTACAAATCACTAAACTATTCATCGACATAAGAGTCACTCAAACAACCACAGAAAATAAAAAGAAAATACACCCCTTTTGCAATAAAGATGGCTGATCGATCCTTTAATTTCCTTTTCTTTGTCCCTGAATTATATTTCAGCTTAATATACACAAGACTTGCACAGCATGAATGGGGTGATAAATAGTTTTGTCAATTAAAGTCCCAACCACAAAGTGGCAGTAACTTTGCAGGTAAAAATAAACACGCAAGCTTTAATAATAAATTGAAGCAACAAATACAACAATCTGCAACTTATTTCTAGTTTTTGCTTTAGTAGAAGAAATGCTGCAGAATATGGAATTTAATAGCAGGTATTATCATTGCTAACAAGAAAGTATATTTCACTTGATATTCACTTATTAGTTGTTGTTACCTGATGTGCTTTAGAGAACTTTTTAAGTTTAGTCGACTTCTCAATCTAATATAAATTGTGTACGTGGTGGTGGCTTCATAGTTAAATGCCTCCACCTTGGTATAGTAATTTGCTCATAAATTCAGCATTTTTCAATTTCTAAATCATTTAAACCCAACATAAGAAGTCGTTTTATTTTTTAAAGATTCTAGAAATTATTTGATCTTTACTGGAAACAGAAACTTTTTGAGAATAAAGTATTGGTTAGCAGTTTCACTTTCTAACCCACCTGCAACAAATCACAGATATGGGCAGGTTCCCCACCGGCCCACCCCACCCCACCCTTCAAAACAATACCTTTTTTCGATCAGTGGACACCACTAAAAATACAGGGAAAAAAAAAGAATAAACACTGTTAAGTTGTCATCAGATAATTGAGAAGAAGCAATAAAATTAAAGATCACAATGAAAGAATTCCTCCAGTCACGCATACAGATCCAAAAAGCACTATGCTACAGAAAAACTTCAAAGCCGTACACATCAGAGAAGATAAAAGCTACTCAATTCCAGCTTAAAACCCAACCAAATCTTAAACCTAAAATTACAATATAGCTGATTAAGCAATTCGCTTGAAATGGAGGTCATGTTTTAATATGCTGTGTATTAATGCAGGTTCATTTTCGACAAAGTTCAATGTACAGCCTTTTAAAAGAACAAGATCCAATAAGAACAAGTCTATGGATTTAATGTCTGCAATATATTATAGATCCTCACCAAGGTAAACTTTTAAGCATAGGCAGGAAGAAAACATCTCCACCTTAAGACAAAGAAAAAGAACTTACTGTCAAATAAATTTTCATAATTATCAGACTTAAAAGAAGTGGTTTTTGTAGCAAATCGTCCAATCTGAATCCCCTGAAGCAACTAAGCCACCGCCATTTGTGTTTATGGACTCAGCACATGAGTTTCGCCTATGTGGCGATAATGCCTTTTCCGTTCTCAGAAATGTAGATTCACACTCCAGCACAGGAGATTTGAAACCACTATTTCTCAACACATCGCATTCTTTGTTTGCACTGGATTCAGTCCCTGGATAAGCCATTTTACGCTTGTCGGAGCATCCCTCACTCTCAGCATCAACCTCCTCATCTGACAAGCACCTGCAACAATCAAATCTATCCATCTCATACGTCTGGCTCACCAGTCCATCCCTCCATGATATCCTCATCTGGGATAGTGACAGATTCTCTGACATTGAATCAAAGACAGAAGAAGTTTTGCCCGAACTTTGCTGGGGAAGTTGGTTGAGGTCAACAGAATGAGAATGTGAGGCCAAGTTGGTGCAATGCATATCAAAAGCAGGTGCATCACATATTGACATCTTATTTCTAGGTGACAGGCTCACTCCGTGTAGAATTTCTGTGACCGACTCCGGTTCAAAGTGAAGTCTTTGGTGTTCATAGTCATCAATATGCCTTTCTGAGCTTGAATTTGAATCTGGTGTCTGAATGACATTTCCACTACTTAAAGAACCAACAGACACTGCAGCACTATCTCCAATCTGATTGTAACTGTAGTCTTTGTCCTCTTGTGAGTTGATAGCCTTACCCATAGGTGTGCAATGAGGAGTATCAACTAAGAAAAACTCATCTATTTTTCTGGAAGAAGGCTCTGAAATCGCATGCTGCTCAGGAACTCTTCTTGGAGAAAGCAAAACATTCCTTGTTTTTCCAGTACTTTCTGTATCACCTACATTACTACTGACGCCGGAGCTATCGAAATCACGTATGAAATCAGATGCATTACCACTTGATGTTGAAGGAGAAGATCCTAAATCAAGCAACACAGAATCATTCCCAGGTATCATCCTACAGCGTTCCAACTTCTTTTCCAAATCACTTTCATTTCCCTCATGCTCCTCATCACATGGAGACAATAGCCAGTGCAACGAAGCTTCGCCAGGCAACGGAATCAAAGAAGCCTGAGATTCGTCAAACATTTTCCCCTCATTACTACCATATTCAAAAAGATTAGCGTTTTCACAACCTACAGTGAGAATCCCTCTCGATCTACACTTTCTCTTATCCGTGACCCCTAAGACAAGGTGTCCAGCGCCATAACAAATAGGTGTCACAGCTGCTGCGGAAACCAACACTTTTGAGTGAGACCCACATTGAATCTCAGGAGAGACAGAGGCCTCGATGGGAGGAGTTTTAGTAGCAGTACTACTATTACTATCAATTGTTCTTGAAGTTGAGTCTTCTCTTATATTTTTATTATCGTCTAAATTTGCAAATTCTAAACCAGTGCCCCATGACATTTTTCCTGCAGGTGTAAAATTCTCAATACTATTTAAACAATTGCTATTATTAGATATTAGGAATAGCTCAATGGTTGACTTACCTGGGCCACTTTCCTGCAAATTCTTTAGCTTTTCCCCAACTCCTTCAAACCCTTTCTTCAATGTATTCACTGGATTGCGAGGACGAGAAGAAAGGTTTGACTTTTTATTAATTTTCCTATGATATAGGAGAGGATGGTTCTTCCGTAGCTTCTGAGAAATGGGCTTTTTGCGAATATCATTTTCCTTAGATCTGAGCACTATTGAACTACCTCCTCCAGCTGTTGCTGATTTTTGAGTGGCACAGTTTGTAAATTTGAATTGACGTTTGGGCTTTTTTGTAAGAAGGGTTTTCGTTGAAGAAGAAGAATAAGAAGAATTTGTGCAGTTTTTGCTGCAATTCTTTCTGAGAATCAGAACTTGGGCATTCAAATCTTGAAGAGGACTTCTGTTCTCAGAAATGTCTTTCTTCGTATTCGCATGTTTCTTCTTTCTACTATCATTTTCCATTTTTGGGATCTTTCCGTATTGATTTCGTGACTGAATAATTGAATTGAATTGAACTGAAATGAACTAAACTGAACTGAGCAACAACTTCTGTAAGTTAATGTTGAGTGAATTCAAAACAGTGAAATGGAGGGCCAGATATCTGTTCAGTTCTTTTTGTCCTTTTCTTTTTGTGGGTTTCTTCTTTTTGGCCCAGTGGGTAAATTTCACTAATGGCCACTAAACTTTGCACTTAGTATCATTTAAGTCACTTAAACTTATAATTGCAGTTTATAGAATGTTTCATACGAACCACTTAGTTTAATGTGCTTTTTAACCGAAAAACCTACATGTTCGTATGCAAAGTTGCATGACTTTAATCAACAATTCTGATGGGTTCAATAACTTTACAGACGGAGACATAAGTTTGAATTAAACATTTGTATACAATTTCATTACAAGTATGAAACAAACACTAAATACAAAATTCAGTCATCATCGGTAAAATTAACACTTGGCCTAATACTATTTACGGTTGTAGGGTTAGAACTAGGAAGAGCAACAGATTAAAAAATATATGGATAATTCTACTTGTACATTATGGCATCCATAATGGATGACATAATGTACAAGTGGCAGTACATTATTGGAGGGTGTGTTGGTGGGCCAGCAC